GGGTAGATTTCATCCAAGCTAGGCTAGTAATTAAGCTTGTACACTTTTGTCTGACACTGCAGTCACTGTTTTCTCATTTCAACACCAATCCGTTACTTTGCAAAGATACACACATGGACACGGTTGTTGGTACCCCTCTGTTAATGACCCCAAAACACACAATGGTCACTGAAATAACTTGAAACTGACAAAAATAATAATAAATAAGAATTTGTTGAAAATTAACCAATGAAAATCCCACATTAATTTAGAAATGTGGATCAACATCATCATCTTAAAAGTCAAACAAGTGAAAGAGGCCTGGACAAATATGATGGTACCGTTAGAAAATTTTGAAAATAATTTGACCATAGGGACTTGTTAAACTAAGGTGTTCTCTAACTGTAATCTGTCTATCTGCCTATTTAAAGGAGGACAAGTAGTCACTGTGCTGTTTGGTGACATGGAGTTCCCACACCTTGGTCAACATCAAATTCAAGGACCTTTCAAGGACTTTACAGTACCAATTTCATCAAATTCAAGAACGACACCAGCAGACAATTACMCACTGCTACTGCAGAATGTTACCAATGAACAGGTTTACTATGTAAATTCAATGAAAAACTGAACAACATAGAAGTTGTTGAGTCAGAATCAATGAAAGAAAATGGATTAAATGTTTACCCTACATTCATATCTACAATACATGGACATGTAATTATGTCCTGGGAGGTTGGGCAGCTCACTTTGGGAGGAGGGGATGTGAACATGTCCTGATGCTCGGTGAGGACAGGAGGAGCTGTGGTGCTTCACCTGACTCGCCCTACTCTGCTCTGATTGGATAAAACTATGACTATGGCTCACATTATTTGTTGAAAGCCACGTCAGTTTACAGTAATCCTGAATTATCCACTGCAACAAATGTAATTTTTTATTTTATTTATGTATTTTTTTTTAGTGCTGGGCACATTAATGCGTTATTATCATTCCAAATGAGTATTATGAGGAGTGAAAGATAGATGAGGCCCCTGTTGTCAGGAAAAAAAATGCATTAAGTAATAAGATGTTTAAAAGAAAAAAGAAAAATGTACATAGTGTGTCACACATGTATTACAACACACAAAGTACACATTCAGCCATAGTTGAGTGATCATTTCTAAAAAAATAAAAATAAAAAAAAATAAAAAAAACATTAATGGCGATTAAAATTCTTAATCTATGCCCAGCACATTATTTTTATTTTTATTTATTTATTTATTTACAGATGATAAAAATAAGTTGTGTGAATAGAGAACTTCAATCCTCAAAAAACATTCAAGGACTTTCAAGGACAAGTGTATTTTTTGGCTGTTTTCACAAACTTTCCAGGGCCTTGAAATCATTTTTTCAAATTCACAAACTGCACACAAACTGGAACCCTGCACACTGAATATGGATCACAGGAGGCTGAGGAGAAAATTATCCCAGGAGATTAGAAAGAAAATTATAGACAAACATGTTAAAGGTAAAGGTTATAAGACCATCTCCAAGCAGCTTGATGCACATATTCAATCCTGAGACAAGTGGAAACAACTAAAAGTATCAGTAAACTTTGGGACTGATTAATTTTTGAGATTAGTTAGCAGAGGCTTTTCTTTTTATCTTTCTACTGCTGGAAATCGCCATTAGCTCGCAGTCTGGCCAGATCTCAAATCTGTTTCTCCAAGTTGAGGCCATTCAAAAAGCTATCAACAACAGGTAAGATATTGATGGTTTATAAYCATTCCAGTGAATATCTAAATAAAYTGAACTCCTTTAATGGTGACAGACAGGGGAAAATGAGTGACAAATTTAAGATACATGCATAAAATGGGTAAAGAAAGGAACTTGCCATGTTTTATGTCAGTACTTGTAACAGGGCCAGAGGTGCAGGGACAAAATCCAGCACACATGATCCTCACGTCTTTGCCTGTGAGGCAAGCCTGCTGCTCCAACTTACACTGTCAGAGAGAAAGGCACGAACACAGTTCAAATATTTATGAGGGTGATCGCAGGCAAAAAAAAAAAAAGATTGCTCATTCAGACGAGACGCTGCACTTCAAAAAAAGGGGGGCAGCCAGAATGAGCTGTCATCTTCCGCTTGTCTTTTCATGCAAGGTCAAAATTAAAAAAAACTACACATAAATCAATAAAGTTCTGGCTGGAGCCCGTCTGCAGCGATGCCGCGCTGAGCACAACGTCAGTCATTAATCATAAGGCCACGCTGAGCCTTTTTTTCCCCTCCTTGTCCTCCTGTGAGCAGTGATGAACTGCTGCCCTGCTGCGCCCACGTATATGTCAGCGCAGCAGGAAACTGGACTTGACTGGTCTCCTCTCCCGTTATTTAAAACGATGACACGTCCACTCACAGTTCTTTCTCTGGGGTTTTACAGTAAAACACTTCAGTGGTCAAACAAAGGGGGAAAAAATCAAGGAAAAAGGTAAAGAGAGTGCATTCAAAGGGAAGACAGTGCAATATACTGTATATATATATATATATTTTTTTTTACCTCTGAAGCGTAGTTATGTCCATCTGAGCCACACACAGGTGAAGAAACAGCTGCAGAACAAGGCTTGCAGCTGCTTTCATGAAGCTCTGGCTGTTTGACTCTGAACATGACAGGAAAAAAAACGACAAAGGTTTTCTAACATCCATGTTCACAGATATCTGATTTCTGTTTCTGTGTTGCAGTAAAAATAACTGTTTTTTTTTCTGTTTCTGCTGTTTACTCACTCGAACGTTTTTAAGTAACAGCTCAAGTGAGGCATTTCTTCTCAGGTCTGCTTCACGCTGGCTGTGTGCAACACGTGCAGAAACATCCTGATTTGAATGGCGCTTTGAAATTTGTTATCTGTCAGGAATCCGATTTAATCTTTTCCCTAAATGGATGGATAGATGGATCAAAACAATCCCTTCAAACCTTGAAATATCTCAGACGTGGCTCAACACATTTATCGCGTGACTGTTGTGAGTATGTCAACAGATCTTTGTCTTATATTCCATCACGTTGCTCGCAACTACAGGATTTACTGTGCAGACCAGTTTTGCTGCGGGGCTTGAAATGTCATATTGAGTTGGTGGGTTTGGATTCAGTTTGGACAAACAAAACCTCTGACTAAACCTTGAAAATGAGATATGGCTTACATTTTTATGCCAAACACCCTGAATCTGGGAGGTTTTGAGAAACTATGCTGCAGTTAATAGAAACCAATCAAAAACGCCTTTTAAAGACTTAATATTTGTCATAACTTGTAGGTGTTGTCAACAAAATATGCTGAAAGGCCAAAGTTTTCATGAAAGTTTTGAGTCAAATGCTTACAGTGAGCATTAAACTGTAGGTTAAACAGACGTCTAAATTATTGGTCAAAATCTTCATAGAAGCAGGAAAACTGCCAAGATGGGTACAAAGTGATCCAAGGTGGATCCGAGGAGGGTGGAGGTGAGCAACAAAATAATGTGCACAACCAAGAATACCATCTTTATACAGTTGCTCTAAACGCGACCTAATGGCTAGCTGGTCGCTTAGTCGTGAACTCGTAGGAAAATTTCTTAGGCTACTACATACTCCATCAAAAAAACTGCAAAATCAGCGTAAATTTTTGCAGTTAGAAAATGGTGTTTTTGTTCGCAGAGCAGCCTCAGCCGCTTCCTCTTGACATAAGGGTCGAGCCAAAATATTTCTCACAGGGAACACACCAAGTTTTGTGTGATTGGTCAGAAGTTTGTGGGCGTGTTTGTTCATGCCAGAGAAGACAACAATTTTGCTTCAACTATTTTGCTTCCAGAAGCTGGCTGTCGTGTGTTCAAACAACATGGATAGTTTTATAGCTTATAAAGATATTTAAATGGACCAAAACTCACAGACGGAAAAGCGGTAGGAAACCCCACGCTGTGACGTACAGCAGCGGGAGGAGTGGGAGGAGCTTGGAACAGCGTATCTCATGGGCTATGCAAAAACACCATGTGACGACTGCTCGGCTTTGGATCGAGTACGCTGGGGCCTTAAGTTTTCCCGCAATTTTGAGTCGCATAACTCATAGACAATCTCAGCTGCAGATGTGAAAACAGTAACCTTTAGTTGACGGGGGTGGGGCTGTGACATTTTGAAACACTGAGAACAAACTAAAGTTCATTTTGAGGCCAACGTTGGATTATTTATTTATTTATTATTTGAGTGAGGAACGAAAACTAAATATAAATGAGAAAATATTTTCGTAATCTGGACGAACAGATCTAATATTCACCAGATTATGAGGCGACCACATCTTCCCTAACTGCTTTTTTATTACATCTCGCAAAATGGAACACAAACCAAGCTGCTTTTATCGGACTTTTCCCCGCGCACACTGACGTGGCGAACATCAGGCTCCCAGTGCTGCCGTGATCCGGCACGGTTGTGTTCCTGCGTATTAGCGACCGTTTGATGCAGTCCCTCTCATCTCTGCAGTAACTCTGTAAATGAAGCACTTTATTGGAAAGAGATCAGCGCCTGTCGCAGCAGATAGACTCTTCACGTGGTAATAATTCACGCCATTAATTCGTTTCAGACAGCCGCCCTGCTCATTTGTTTTTCGTTCGCGGTGAAGTAAATGAGCGCAGGGGGGCAGATAAATGCTTCACGCTCGTGTTTGCAACAAAAATGTAAAGAGGTTTTGTGAGGAGGGGAACATAAACACAATAATGTGCGATTAAAAAAAACACATATACCTGTCTTCCTTTCAGCATCCATTACTTTTACCACCCACCGACCAAAGACAAAGGTGGACAATAATGTTTTCGACAATGTCTGTAACTGTCTCTTAAACAACAGCACAGATTTTAATGAAACTCTCATAAATTAATGACTGGATATAGATCTAAAACTGATTATCTTTTGAACTCAGTTCAACATGGCTGCCACAGTCAACTGAACATACACAGAATATAGTTTTTTTTAATAATTAGCTAAATTGTGGTGTGGTCGTATACCAAAAATATATTCTGAGTGCCAAAAAATAGTGCAAGATGTTTATGTATAATTTTGCCATTAACAATTGAATTAGATGTTTCTGTCCTTAGAAGGCAGTTATCTGTGCCTTTTCCACATTGTGTTCTGCAATTTATTTCATTCATGTTGTGAAAAGTGTTCGAAATCAATTTTATAGATTGTGCACACCGTGTTAGCTTAAGTTTTCTTCATCCTGCAGCACTCACACACACAAAGGAGTGCTGAGCGTTTTTCTTTTTATAAATGACTCTTAATCACAATTTCTTGCGACTATTATGAAAAATGGATTAAAAAAAAACAGGATGGACAATGTTTTGGGCTGCTTCACCTCTTTGTAATGATGCTTTCACTAAATCAGTCCAACACAGAACAAATACAAGTTTTTTTTTAACATTCAGTCAATGCATTTCATTCAAAATTAACAGGTTAAAATGTTAAAATCTTCATCAATTTTGAGAAAAGCAAGGCTTCGATTTGTGTCTCTATCAAGCAGCACTAACTGTGTTTAAACATTCAAAGTTTCACCAAGCATTAAAAAGCACTCAATTTTTTAAATTTAAATTACATTTAGTTTTAAATTAAAAAATACTTTTATACCTGGAGCCGACATAGACACATTTCCATAACTTTTCCTCATTATGCACAGATAAAAGCACTTCAGTGTTTACAGTTTACCTTTGATTTTTTCCCCTTTATAGTGGTGTTCTGTTTGTTTAAAGTAGAAGTTTATTTATTCATATTTAAGCAGATCCATATCCTTGGATATGGCAATTTTACACGCAATAATTTATTCCTGTTTGTTCTTAAAACTGCCAGACTAAGATCTTAAGTCCACAGAAATATGGGTATTTGGGAGTTTTGCTAGTTTTTGTTCTTGATAATAGGTCACAAATCAGTTCATCACTGGGTGTTTTTACAAAAATCTCTTTGCTTCCATAAAAAACTCAAACTAACCCGTTAACACACCGCGGGCACACGCGCTCAATGCTTAATGTTTTCCACACTTCAACAATCCAAAGGCAATAGCTGTCACGCCTGATCTGCCCTCGCCTGCTAAATAGTTCAGTGTTTTCTGACAGCAGTGACAGGTAGTTTTGTTCCCTTTTCTCTAAAGAAAAAACAAAAACAAAAAAATATGATTCTATTCAACAGCAGGAGCTATTTGATTGGTCGCTTGATTGACTTTCTGACTTTGTGCAGAATATTATTTTCAGGGTTTGACTTTATTCTTTCACTACATAAATTGATTTCAGTCTAAAATTCAGGCATACATTGTTGTATTCATTTATATCAAGAAATACTAGTCCTTTTGTTAATATAAGAAATCAAGTTTCAAAACCAAATCAAAGCCCCCAAAATGCTTTAAAAATATTATTGTTCAAGACAAACAGTATATCTTTGCAGATGATTTAATGCTGGTATAAACTGCTATTTCAGAAATCTTGAAAAGGTCATTTAAAGCTAAAGTTAGCAGCGATATGATCTTGCTAACTTCTCGTTTTATGGTAATAAAGTGGATATCACTGCAGATTCTAATTCCAAATAACCTTTAAGTGTATAAACCTCACAGAAAGAGTAAGGAAATGTGTGTTTGGTAGATTATTTCTTTGTTGTAACAACGCTTCTTGGCAATAAATCATAGAGTGAGCACCTGATTGGCAGCACCTGGGATTACCAGAGGCTCAAAACAAAAGTCAACAGCAACAGCAAAATAAACCTGTTTGGCAATGGCAGAGAAGGTTTATTTACTGCGGTAAACCTAGCCTCCAAGCCGCAGAGTCAGCACTCAATCAGCTTTGTTGTGCACACAAATGCTGTACATTACGATAATCGCTTGCTACGCTTGCAAGGTGCTTTCAAAATAAAAGCTGAAGCTGAAACTGACTCAAAGCCATAATTGAACCAACAAAACCCCTAGTGTTTCCACAAATACCCCCCCCCCCCCCACATATCCAGAGACCTGTAAATGTGTGTTGGGAAAAAAAATTAGGATTCGGCTAATTAGAAAAGCTGATCTTCTGCCTTCATCTCACCCTATCCCCTTCCTCCACTAATGTTATGAAATTAAATTAAGATTAATTCTATTTTTACTTTTACCACAGTTTTTTGTATTAATTCATTCCTTAAATACAATGTCAAAAAAATACAAATTGCTTTTTTCAGGAAACAAGTCACACATTAGGCTGACATAAGAAAACGTCCAGATATTGGTAACCAACAGAAGCTACCGACTGGTGTTGCATTTCAAAATAAAAGCCCTTGGAAAGTGTTCATTGTCATTCTTTTTCTTCTTAAATTGCTGTCATTATTGCAACTAAACAGCTAGCTGTCAGAGACTGGTCTCACTTCAGCTTGACTCTAGAAAGCCTCCAGATGTTCCTCAACAATTCTGAGCAACTTCTGATGTAGCATTTCAAAAATAAAAGCAGCCCCATTATTGACATAGTACCTTTAATGTTCCCCTAAGTTGCTGTCTTTATTGCAACTAAACAGCAAGGTGTCAGAGACTGGTCTCACTTCAGGTTTACTCTAGAAGACCTCCAGATGTTCCTAAACATTTCTGAGCCATTTCTGATGTAGCATTTCAAAATAATGGCACTCCCAATACTGACATACAATTATGGTTCCCCTAAGTTGCTGTCTTTATTGCAACTAAATGGCTAGTTATCAGAGACTGGTCTCACTTAAGACTGACTCTAGAAGGCCTCCAGATGTTCCTCAACATTTCTGAGCAACTTCCGACATAGCATTTCAAAATAATGGCACTCCCAATACTTACATTATAAATTTCTCTGCCCTTAAGTTGCTGTCTTTATTGCAACTAAATAGCTAGTTGTCAGAGACGGTTATAACAGTAGTGGAGGAAGGGGATTGGGTGAGATGGAGGCAGATGAACAGCTGTCTTTAATTAATTGAATCCTATTTTTTATTTATTTTTTTGCCAACACACATTTACAGGTCTCTGGATATGGGGTGGAGGGTTGTTAAATTTTTGTGGAAACACTAGTAGTTTTGTTGGTTCAATTGCGACTTCGAGTCAGTTTCAGCTTCAGCTTTTATTTTGAAAGCACCTTGCAAGTGTCGCAAGCGTGATTACCGTAAAGCACAGCGTTTGTGTGCACAACAAAGCCAATTGAGTGCTGGAGCTGCGGCTTGGAGGCTAGGTTTACCGCAGGGATTTTTTTATGTGCCCAACATACGCAGCTCTACTGCTTATCCCACAAATGCATGCTCCTTACATATGTTGCACCATTTAAAAGGGCAATTAACAGGCTTTCCAAAGGTATATGATTTATTGCTAAGAAACATTGTTACAACAAAGAAATAATCTACCAAACCCAAATTGCACATACACACATAATGGCTGTTAGCCACTATCTTCTTGGTTTGCCAATGTAGTGTAACCTACTTTATTACCATGAAAACAGGATAATAGCAACAAAATATAACTGCTAACTTTAGCTTTAAATAGTGTGTTCCTTCAAAATATAGAAAAATATATATAATACCAGTAGATAGAAAAAAATAGGAGAAAATAACTGCATTTGTAAGTAAATGCAGGTAGAGCTAAAGACACTCTGAAGTCAACACTCTCCCAGACTTTGCACAGCTTTTCTCCCTGACTAATCCTTCTCACAGGAATATCCATCAGGTCCATTTGCCCTCAGCATCTTTGTTCAACTATTAATCAAGGCACGTTGTGATTTACGGACTGAAACCTCCTACCTTTGCTCCAGTTTCTTGCGATTGATACACGTGGCCCTCTGGTAGCCCTGAGCGACGCACACCTTGTGCCGGCTGCACTTCACATTCTGGCACGGGTCCTTGGTGGTGTCGACAGCTGTGAACACACGGCAGAACCAGCTTCGTCAGAGCCGAGCTGTCAATCACACCTGAGAGGTTTCGCTTTGCTATCTCTATTTTCGTCATTTCGAGCTTCTCGCTCTGTTTTTGTTCCTCCTGACGAAGAAACACGTATGTTCGACAGATTGATTGCGAAGCTGCAAAAAGCAAGAGAGGTACTTTTTTATTGTTGATGCTGTTTTCTCGCTCTGTTTGATCAAGTTCTGTGCAATTACACAATCTGAAATCATCTTCCAGTCGCACAAAAATCATTTAAACGAGCATACGCAATAAACATCATGAACAGTGCGGGGAAAAATCATTCTGGCTGTGGTGCACAAATGAGTCAATTGTCTGAACTGCCAAAAAGAAGTGACGCCTCGCTGTCATTAGTGAAGCAGCACATCATCCTCAGCAGCAGCAGTTGTCTCTGACTGGAAGGAAACCTGACAGCACTGATTGAGCATCTTCTCCTCTCCACTTGCCACATCTCACTTCCTTCATGTCAACCCATCACTGTCCCTCCTCCCTCCTCCCCTCGCTCACACAGAAACACCCACTCCATCTTAGCCTCACGCATCCCCTCCTTTCTTCCTGTTACACGTCTCCCCTTCTCTCCTTCAATCTCCCCGGCCCCATCTCCAGAAAGTTGAGCGGTTCAATGCCAGCCTCTTTTCACGCCGATCGACTGAGATGGAAATAGCACCACGTCCCCCCACCTTCCTCGCAGCCGACGGTCAGTTGAGAAGTGGATGTCGCACCTTCTCAGTCCATTTGCCGCCTTTCTCTTCACATAAAATAAAAAAGATCAGATAAATTTAAGGGTGAGTTTAGGTGCTGAGAGAAACTTAAGCTGTGAAATCCTGAGTCAGCTCTCAGCAGCTGCTTTACAGTCAACACGGTGGCTGACAGCCAGGTTCCTGCAAATCTGGTGACTACGTGATACTTTAAAGAGAAAGGTAGAAGAGAACAGTGAACCTTTACGGCACTCAGTTTAATATAAAATAGTTTTCTATCAAAGGTAAACTTAAAATTTATAATTTAATACAACAAAATGAACTAATTAAAAAAGAGAAAAATAATAATTGTTCTGACCCTGAGCTTAAGTTGCTTTAAAGGGGCAATATTATGTGTTTCTCAGGCATACATTTAAATACTATACTATAATAAAGTATCTATGTCACCTTTAGTTGTTATTAAAATGCTGTTTTTATGTATAAACATCTTCTCATCACTTCCTCTTCTAAACGCCTTGAAATTGCCCTCTGTCTCTTTAAGAACCACCTTCCGCTTCTGTCCCGCCCATTTCAGCTCACGCGGGGGTGGGGGTGGGGGGTTCTTCGCACACGCCCCATGATGCATTTCCCTTGGCATTTGAAAATACATTTCCTCAAAGGTATTTTGAATCTGAAAAGAGCTTCACTGAGTGAGAAGTAATGTTAGGAGCTCAGCAGACAGTTTCAGTTTCACTTTCAGTTTCATCCATTGTTTGCTTTGTTGCTGCCGAGAGCCTGCAGGAGTCATGGGTGGTGCGTGTGTGTTTGTGTGTGTGTGTGTGTGGT